CACACACACACACACACACACACACTATTAAAGCCCTAATTTTCCATCTCCCCTAACCTTTTATGGAACTAGGTTCCTTGTAGATATGGTTATAAGGAGGACATAGTGAAGTAGACCATGGACTGGTGTCCATGTAAAAGACAGCCATGTGAAGATGGATGGTTTGCAGTGACGCTGCCATGAGCCAAGGACTGCTTAGGGTCAGCAGAACCAAAGAAGGCTCTTCTCCTGAAGGCTTCAGAGGAGCAGGGCTCTGGGAACTTTCATTTTAGACTTTTTGTTTGCCTAATTGTGAGGCAATATGTTTCTATTGTTACAAGCAACATAGTTTATGACACCTTGTTACAGCATAACTGGAACACTAATAGTGTCCAAGTATGACTGAGTCCTAAAGGAACAAATGTCTAGGAAACCAAATGTGGAACCCTATGACCTGCAGCAGGAGGACCAATTTGTAAAGAAGGAAGAACGATGGTGACTTGGGCAGATACATTGAAAGCTGTCCTCCGTGGCCCCTCCAGAGCTATGACAAATACCACAGCCTCATTTTCTTTCCTTTTTTTTTTCTTTTTGGCCTGTATTAGTTTAAAATATTTACTCAAGCCAGATGCTAAGGGCTCATACCTGCAATCTTAGCTACTCAGGAGGCTGAGATCTGAGGATCTTGGTTCAAAGCCAGCCCAAGCAGGAAAGTCTGTGAGACTCTTATCTCCAATTAAGCCCCAGAAAACGGGAAGTGGAGCTATAGCTCAAAGTGGTAGAGTGCTAGCCTTGAGCTGAAAAGCTGAGGGACAGCGCCCAGGCTCCAAGTTTAAGCCCTATGACTGAAAATAAAGAAGTAAACTATTTAATCAAAATGTCTACCTTTCTGGGATGTACTGCAGTGTATGAGGGAATATACAAATTCATTACTTATTTCTCTCACTGTAATCCATTTAATACCTTTTATTATTTTAGAGACCATTCTTTTTATTGCTATGTTACATTTTGCTTATTAGATACTGAGCACTGATATTCAAAAAGTATTTCTGGAATTTCTATGTTATATTCACTTGATACTACTTCCTGGCATGGAGGGAAGACTCTAGAAGCTTAATTTCTAGCCTGAGTCTTACTAGAGGATTACCCCATCTCTAAATGTTTTGTCTATGGCAATTGGGAATATTCACTTACTGTAAACTTATTTTGGGTGTTTATTAAATGTATTTGATCTTTTGAGCATAATTGGTTGAAAATTCATTTAGTAACAACTGTGTTGTTCTCCTTTTGTTGTCGTGACAGGGTTTCCCTATGTTGCCCAGGCTGTTCTTGAATTCCTAGACTAAGTGATCCTCCTGCTGCAGTATCTCAAGCTGTTGAGATTACAGGTGCATCACTGTCCCTGGTCTGTTCCTCATTTTGAAACTTGTCCTTAGCTTTATTAGCTCATCTGGTCTTCAGGATGACAATGAGTCAGAAAAATAACAAAGCCTGAATATTTATCTTTATAGTTAACTATACGCCTGAAACACAATAAGCGCGCGCGCGCGCGCGCACACACACACACACACACACACAAATTGATCATTATCAAGAGAGATGGGGGTTGGGAATGTGGCTTAGTGGTATAGTGCTTGTTTACCATGCACAAAGCCCCACTGGGTTTGATTCCTTAGTACCACGTAACCAGAAAAATCTGGAAGTGGTGCTGTGGCTCAAGTGGTAGAGTGCTAGCCTTGAGCAAAAGAAGCTCAGGGACAGTGCCCAGGCCCTGAGTTCAAGCCCCAGGACTGGCAGACTGGCAGAGAGAGAGAGAGAGAGAGAGAGAGAGGAGGGGGGAGAGAAGAGAGCTGGAGATTATTTTTGCCAGTATCCAACATATGCTCATTCCCAGATTCCCTCACCTGAAGTCATACATGAAACTGGAAAGGAGAATGTGACAGGCTGAATAGTGTGCATCCAGTGTCCATGTCCTAAGCCCTGCAGCAGTGTGTATCTGACTTTATAAAGGCAAAGGGACTTCGGAGAGGTGGCGAATCAAAGGAGCTTAAAAAGGGAAAATCATCTTGGATAATCCAAGTGGGCCTGATAATCATCACAAGGGTACTATGAAAAGGTGGGAGAGCCAGGGGGAAAGCAGATGGGGTGAAGATGGAGGAAGGTATACTACAAGCAAGGTATGTAAGTAGAAGCTGAAAAACAGTTCTCTCCTATACCCCCAAAGGACAGTCACACCTTGACTCCCTCACTGAGACCCCTTCTGGACTTTTGGATTCAGAATGATAACAACAAATTTATGTGTTTTTACACCATTAAATTTATGGTAATTTGTGACATCAGCAATAGAGAAAGATACAGGGGGACTGGGAATTTCTGCAAAATTTGCTCTTCTGAACATAAGGCTTGGATTGAGGCCTTTTTCTTGCCATGTCACCGGGCAGTTAGGTTTTCACCAGTCTCTTAGCACTGCCTCTGCCTCTGCCCTCAGATTCGTTTCTTGTCTCTGTGAATCTCCTTCTAGTCACCCACCCACCTTCAGTGCCTAGACTTGATACTGGTGCTAACTCCTCCTGTTTGGGACTGGGGTTGCTAGAAATAAAGAAAAATTCAACTGAAACATGAAATTACAATGAGAAACCTTCTAAATATAGGAGTATTTTCTCTCCCAGCATCCAGCCAAAGAGAGAGCAAGCTAGAGAGACTGAGAACCAGAGGTACCACAAACTGGAATCTAGCTAGAAACACTTTGCTGCCTTTTCAGTTTCTCAATATTTACTTGGTAAGATTTTGTTTTTGTCTTTTGCTTGTTTTGTGACAGGATCTCACTACGCAGCCTAGGCTAGCCTGGAGCTCATCATCTTCCTTCCTCAGCTAATTTATAAGCCCCTACCACCCTGCCCTGCTTGCTACTTGAGTTTTGAATCTTGGCTCTTAGGCAGGATTTCCAGGCCTTTAGTTCTAGCCTAGAAAACTGAAGACAAAGGACCAAGGGAGACCCTGGAAAAACCTGCATTTGAATTCTGAGGACCACCATTCCTGGTGTCTTATTTTCATACGTAGAGGGTGCACTACCCCAACCCCTAATTCAAGACCTGTGGACTGCTGTTACAGATAGAAAGAATAAATGCATGTTTCTGGCCCTGTGCAAGAAAGGCATGTTACCAAGAAAGCGCAAAACGCGCTTTATTTTACTTTTCTCTCGCAGAATAAAAGGCCCTTACTTTAAATTTTATATTCGTGATGATGATTTTAATTTTTCTTTCCTTTCCTTTACGAGCTGGGAGCTAAACCCTGGCGCGGGCCCCAGGCGGCTGCTGGAAAGGCGCCCTCCCAGGAGCAGAAGGCTCGCAGCGGAAATAGTGGAGGCGGGAGCGAACTTGCCACGCTTTGGCGCCCCGCCCCCCGGCCCCCCAAGGGGTTCTCTCCAGGTTTCACCAGAGGGACCCCAGTCCCTAGTCGGAGGCTGGGTACAGCAAGGAGACCCGCGCTCCTTTTCCGGGAGCCCCTCCCCTTCCCTGGCGGGCACAGAGCAGGCCCCAGCAGCCAAGAGGTTGGAGACCACCCATGGAGGCCGGAGCCCCGCCCTCCGAGACCCCGCCCCCTTCCTGGCCCCGCCCCCGCGCTGTGATTTCCTACGCTGTGCTGAGTTCCGCCTTGCACCGGCTGGGCAGCCTGCGCGGTACCCAATGCCTTCAGAAGAGGGAGTGCGGAGCCACAGGGCCCAGCCTCAGAAGAGATGCCCTTCCACTTCATTTCCTTCCCTACCCCAGCGGAGAGTACTTGTAACCTTTCCTCCCCTACACCCATCCTAAATTTGGGGTGGCAAATTAATTTTAATCCACTGTAATTCGAAACAACAAAAACACTGAGAACACTGTTTCAGAGCAGAGCTGCAAACCTTTGGATCTATAAGATCGAGTTAGATGGGGCATGTGGACCAGGGAAGGTGTTTTAGGGGTCTTCAGTATCTTCCTAGAGGCAAAGCTCACAGACATTTCTCCCCTTCTAGTTGCCAGAATGGAAAGTTTGTAGGAGACAGTTCAGCCCAGGTCAACAAACTTTTATTGCCACTTCTGGCTCCCCCAGCCCCAGCAAGAGTCCTGCTTCTACACTGGAGAAACACTGAGTTCAGTCCGGTGCAGGGGAATGGAGGTGAGGGGTGTGACCATTCCTCTGTATACAGCCAAGTTAAAGAAAACCCTGCTCTCCTGGAGGGAGGGCCAGACAGAGAGGAATTCAAGGGCTCAGTCCCACTTGCTGACTGCAGAATATAGGGGCTATGGTTTAAAACTTTTTTTCGAAGGGAGTAGGAATGAATTTGGCCGCTGTTGTACCCCCTTGCTCTTGCTGCCATGTAGCCATGGAAACGAGGGAGGGGCAGGATGTAGCTCATTCTGACTACCTGGGAGGATGGTAGGGCAGGCATTTGGTAAACATACCATCTTCTATTCCTACCCAACACACAGATCTGTCCCCAGCCGACCCCCATCAGAGGCTTACTCCCCTCGGCCTGGTCTACTCCCTTCACTTCTGGAGCTGGAATCCTGCCAACTAGACTCCAGCCATGGCTGCTGGTGTCTGCTCTCCACAGCCAGGTCTCTCTGGCAGCAGGATCTAAGTATGTCCACCAAGCTCTAATAGACCTGTCAGCTATAGTGCCTCTGTGGAAAAGGAAAAGCAGCAGCTAGTACCCCCTCAACACTCCATGCAATTGCCGTTTCCAAAACATCTCTGCCCCAACAAATCTTAAAAGCATAAATCCAGATGCTTAAGGTTAGAAAGGATAGAAAATAACTCTTTGATGATGCTCAGGGCTAGGATGGGGGAGAGGAAGTACATCCTCTGAGATTCAAGCCACCTGTGCACCCTGCCATTTGTCCATCTCGAGTTTGCTTCTTCCCACTGGGTCATCATTGCCGGGAGGCTGGAATGCAAATCACCATTAGGTGCCGTTCTCAGCACCCAGTGCTGTTGATCGATGAGGCTTGCCTGTGGCCATAGTGAGGAGATATAGATGGATTCTTAATACCACGGGTCAGCCCGATGCTGCTGGTTGTAGAGCTGTAGCTTGATCTGATCTTTGATTTGATTCACAAGAATCTGGGACAGCAGGATTCCAACCAGCTAAAAGAGACAAAAAGGAACTGGCTCCTCAGCAAGGAATGATGCTCTTGCTTTTTATGACTTAAGTGTGGTCAGCACTATCTCCTCCTTTGTCCCTTAGCAATCCCAGTACCCAGCCAATGCCCATGTTCTTCCCCCCCCCTCCAAGGAGTGTTTGCAGAGTTAGTGAGACCTACAAGTCTGACAAGGGAAGTTACCTGGGGGATGGCCAGGCCCAGTGCAACACCACCAAGTAAGAATAGGTTGCTGTGTATCCAGTTGACCAACTTGTCAATACAGCCGTTGGTATAGATGACTTTACTCGCTTCCAAGTAATCAAGGGCCTGCATACCTTGGCCACACATAGTATTAATCACTGCCTGAGGAACAAGTTGAAAAGCCAAATGTGATTCCCATACCATTAACATCTTGTTTGAGACCCTAGCTGATAGGCATCCCTCCCTTTCAACCAGTTTTTATGGAGGTTGCTGGGTTGGAATTTGCTAAATGCAGATTTCCCCTCCTTTGAGAGGTCTGGGATAAGTCCTCCATGTTTTAGATCTGCCTCTGCTGAGCTCCCATGGGAGCTCTCATAGTGGAAACTAGATCTAAAATATAACTGGACATGATAACCTATACAGGACCTAGGCATTTACACACAGTCAGACTAAAGGAGGATACCCTTAGGGAAGGAACCCAAAGGCGAAACTTCTCTGAATATTTAAAATATTATTTATCTCTGGCATTGATGACTCTTATCTGTAATCCTAGCTACCTACGAAGCTGAGAGCTGAAGAGCATTATTTGAAGTTAGCTGGGGCAGACAAGTCCATGAGACTCTTGTAGTAAATAAATTCCTTAGAAAAAGCTGGAAGTACCACTGTGGCTCAAGTGATAGAGGATTAGTCTTTAGCAAAATGGGACAGTGTCCTGGCCCCGAGTTCAAGCCTCAAGATTGGCAATAAATAAATAAAGTAAAAATACAAATAAAAATAAAATGCTAGGGGGCTGTGAAGGTGGCTCAGTGGTAGAGTGCTTGCCTTGCATGCATGAGGCCCTGGGTTTGATTCCTCAGCACCACATAAGCAAAAAGAAAAAAGCCGGAAATGGCGCTGTGGCTCAAGTGGTAGAGTGCTAGCCTTGAGCTAAAGAGCTGAGGGACAGCACCCAGGTCCAGAGTTCAGGCCCCACATCCAGACCCCCCCCCTCAAAAATGCTATTTATCTAAATGAATTCTAAGAAAAGGAAACATGGGTTGTTGTTTTATTTTGGGGGGGCGGAGATTAAGGGGTGAGGGGGGGTGGGTTCAGTGTGGGGTTTGAACTCTGGGCCTGGGCACTATCCCTCAGAGCTTCAGCTCAAGGCTAGCACTCTACCACTTGAGCCATAGCACCACTTCTAGTCTTCTGAGTGGTTTATTAGAGATAAGAGTCTCACAGACTTTTCCTGTCCAGGCTGGCTTTGAACTGTGATCATCAGAGGCTAGGAAGGTGGCTCAGTGGTAGAGTGCTTGCTTTGCATGCATGAGGCCCTGGGTTCAATTCCTCAGCACCACATAAGCAAAAAGAAAAAAGCCAGAAATGGCGCTGTGGCTCAAGTGGTAAAGTGCTAGCCTTGAGCTGAAGAGCTGAGGCCCAGAGTTCAAGCCCCATGACCGGACCCCCCCCAAAAAAAATGAACTGTGATCATCAGATCTCAGCCTCCTGAGTAGCTAGGATTATAAGCATGAGCCACTGGCTCCTGGCTTTGGTTGTTATTATTACTGGTGGCATTTGTTTTTGTTTTGTAGAAAGGGAGGGAGGAAGGGCCAACAAATATAATCATGCTATTCAGTATACACTATGTGAAAATAACCTATGTACCTTGTGTGCAGGGATGAGAGGAGGAAACGGGAAAGTGAAGGAAGGGGTCACATTGTACAAAAATGTACTAATTACCTGATTTATGAAATGGTAACCCCTCTTAATAACCCATCTTAATAATAACAATGAAATTATATTTTTTAAAAAAGAAAAGAAAGCCAGTTGCTGGTGGCTTATGCCTGTAATCCTAGCTACTTAGGAGGCTGTGATCAGAGGACTGCAGTTCGAAGCCAGCCCAGGCAAGAAAGTTCATGAGATTCTTATTTCTAATAATCAGAAAAAGCTAGAAGTGGTGCTGCGGTTTAAGTGATAGAGTACTAGCCTTGACTACAATGAGGCTCAGGGACAGAGGCCAGACCTAGAGTTGAAGTCCCAGGATGGGCAAAAAAAAAAAAGAAAGAAAGAAAAAAAAAAGAAAATAACTTGAATCACTACTCAGGAGGAAATGAGGAGGTGTTTGGGTTTGCTCACCTGGTTAGGGGTAGGCAAGCAACAGGAGTAAGGCACAGAACATCTCTCCCGGCTGGGGTTGTCCTCTGAGCAGTTGAAATACATGTTCTGGGACCAGTCCTTGTAGGAAATTCCCCCACAGCAGCTGAACTGCAACATAACCCACCATAGAGATTAAGAATCCCCCATCTCACAACTGAAATACCCAAAGGAATTCTCAGTGGTCAAAATCTGTGGTAAGCCAGGTGCTGGTGGCTCCCATCTATAATCCTAGTTACTCAGAAGGCTGAGATCTGAGGATCTCGGTTCAAAGCCAGCCCGGGCAGGAAAGTCCGTGAAACTATTATCTCCAATAAACCACCAGAAAACCAGAAGTGGTGCTATGGCTCAAGTGGTAGAGCGCTTGCCTTGAGCTGAAGAGCGCAGGGACAGCGCCCAAGCCCAGAGTTCAAGCCCCAAGACTGACAAAAAACCAAACCAAACCAAAACAAACCCTCTGTGGTAAGCTTCCACTTGTAATTTTTTTTGGGGGGGGGGGTTGGATGTAGGGCTTGAACTCTGGGCCTGAGCACTGTCCCTTAGCTGTTCAGCTCAAGGCTAGTGCTCTACCACTTGAGCCACAGCACCACTTCTGGTTTTTTGGTGGTTTATTGGAGATAAAGGGTCTCATGGACTTTCCTGCCCAGGCTGGCTTTGAACTGCAATCCTCAGATCTCAGCCTCCTGAGTAGCTAGGATTACAGGTGTGAGCCACCAGTGTCTGGCTTCCACTTTTAATTTTAAAGTTGTTTAAATGTAAGCTCAAGCTTTCCAGTGGCTTTCATCTATAGATGCTTTATTCTCCTTACCCTTCCCTCCCATCACCTCCCTTTCTTCACCTTCCTCCTCCCTTCTCTTCTTCTGCCTGTACTGGGACTTGAACTCAGGGGCCCAGGTGTTGTCACTTAGCTTTTTTGCTCAAAACTTGAGCCACAGCTCCACCACTTTGCTCTACCACTTGAGCCACAGCTCCACTTCTGGCTTTTTGGTAGTTAATTGGAGATAAAAGTCTCATGGACTTTCCTGCCCAGGCTGGCTTCTAACCTCAAACCTTAGATCTCAGCTTTCTAGGTAGCTAGGATTACCAGCATGAGCCAGAGGTACCCTGCACGTGTGTATCTTGTTATAACTCCAATAGTATTTGGTATTATACTTGTGTATATTAGTATCTATATAATTTTACACACTGAACTACAAACTTCTTAAGACAAAATTTTGATGCTGAGCGCCAGTAGCTCACACCTGCCATCTTAGCTACTCAGGAAGCGGAGATCTGAGGGTTACAATTTGAAACTAGCTAGGGCAAGGAAAGTCCATGAGACTCCATCAAAACAAACAAACAAACAAAGTGGAGCTATGGCTCAAGTGGTAGGATGCTAGCCTTGAATAAAAAAGCTCAAGGATAGTCAGTGTCCAGACCCTGACCTCAAGCCTCAGGACCAACATGTACACATACACAGAGGAGATTCTGGCTTTGTAGCTCTGCATAGCAGACAGCCTGTGAAAGGGTGTTCAAACATACTGGTGAGGGCTGGTGGTGTAGCTCAGTGGTAGAGTACATGGTACGCATGAATATCCCCTGGGTCAATCCAAATATCACAACTAGCAAATTGGACTGCTGCATCAGAGGAAGAAGTCAGCACAATCTCCAAAGCACTTTTATTCAAAATTCGTAGCATCATAGCTATTGTGAAATAGACACGGTGGAAGCAACACAAGTGTTCATTCATAAATAAATGGATACATACAATGTAGAATTTATGACACTGGATTATTCAGCCTTAAGAAAGAAGGGAGTCCCAGCACATGCTACAACACAGATGAAATCTAAATACATGCCAAGTGAGACAAATCAGTCACAAACAAATATTGTATGAGTCCATTTATATGAACACCTAGAGTAGTCCATTCATAGAGAGTGAAATGATGGAGGGAGATGGTAAGTGTTTAATGGGTACAGAGTTTCAGCTGGGAAATATGAAAAGGCTCTGGAGGTGGATGGTGGTGATGCATACAATGTTTTTGATATATTTATAAGTATTCACATCTGAGCTGGGTGCTGGTGATTCCTTAAGCAAAAAAAAAAAAAAGAAAAGAAAAAGCTAAGCAAGCTTACCCATAGTACCATCATCAAAAAGAGTATACACATCTGAATGAATTTTTTTGGGGGGGGTTTGGTCATGGGGCCTGAACTCTGGGCCTGGGCACTGTCCCTCAGCTCTTCAGCTCAAGGCTAGCGCTCTACCACTTGAGCCACAGTGCCATGTCCGGCTTTTTTCTCCTTGCTTATGTGGTGATGAGGAATGGAACCCAGGGCCTCATGCATGCAAGGCAAGGGCTCTACCACTGAGCCACCTTCCCCAGCCCATCTGTATGAATTTTATAGATCTATACTTTTGGAAATGAACTTTACAACGTGTGTGTGCGGGCGGGGGGGGGTGCGTTTGGGGGAAGGGAAAGTAGGAGAAAAACCAGGGAGGGTGTAACAATGTTTGACAAGAAATGTACTCACTACCTTATGTATATAACTGTAACCCCTCTGTATATCACCTTGACAATAAAATTAAATTTAAAAAATTCTTATAGACCTGAATTTTTTTGCATCTTTATTTACCTAGTGAGAGTATTTGTTTGTGTAAATACACAAACATCTTTATTACCCAGTGAAAGAGAATCATTGTTTGTGTAAATACAGTCTACAATGTTTGCACAATGGCAAAATCACCTAATGATGAGTACTTCAGAAGATACTACTGCAGTATATCATCTGTAAGACTAATGACAATATTGCTACGTACATAGTTGTACATGTTGAATGCAGATGCAATTTTTTCAATATTGGTTCCTCATTGGTTTAAAGTATCAATACAGAATTCATGCATCAAAAAAGTTGTCTATACTGGAGTAATTGTTCTTATACCAATTTACATTACTTATGTGAAAACTTAATGAAAGTTTTATATGAAAACTTTTCTGCAAGAGCGTTGCAATTAATTATGCTGTTGCCTAGAGTCATCTGTAGAAAAAAATCTAGATCTGTACTTATAAAAATACAGATGTGCATAATAAAAAATGTAAATTCTAGGAGTGTAACTCAGTGGTACAGTGCTTGCCCATGATATGCAAGGTACTGAGTTCTATCTCTAGCATCACTAAACAAAAGGTAAATTTTATGTTATGTATATTTGGCTACAAATGTAAACTTATTAAAAAGCATTAAAATGTAACTTTTAAATAGGTAATCAAAAATCTGCTTGCTTCTTCATAAGTCACCATTTATAATGATTTTCTTATCGTTCCAGAATCCTTTTGCAAATAAGTATATCCCTCTTTTTTATATAAGTGGATTACTATATATACCAGTCACTATCCTTAAACATATTTTTAAGATATTCTATGTGTGTAGGTGTTTGTGATTGTTTGCTTGCCCATTCTCTTTCCAGAATCTATTACCTAGCAGGTAACAAAGAAGCCCCTCAACCCTAGAGGATGTGGCATCTCTTGGATAACATTAACTTTTACTCACAGCCCCCCAGACCACTTATTGACCCCACCACACTTGGCACATACCTTCTTCTGCCCAAAATCAATGAGGTTCTGCAAGTCTAGGTCATCTCGGTAGTGCACAATGGCATTGTTGATGATCTCACTCACTTTCCCCCGAGCCTGACAGAGACATGGACAGGGAATTAGGATACAGGATCCATTCCTCGCTGCAGGAGTAACAGTAGGCCAGGATCACCTCCCCACTCCTTCCACCCTTGATTTCTCTGTAGTTTATTGTCCCAGCAGGATTTGTGAAGGCAGAGGATACCGTTCATATGCAATACAGTGTGGTCACAGCTCCAGCATCCCTTCTCACCTCTAGCCAAGTCCTAAGCAGCCCAACACAGGTGTGGCTCCTTTTCCCAGGCCACTCTGGGTACACACTCATAACTACCAAAGTCAGTTCAGCCAAATAGTCCCACACCGCTTCCTATTGCCCAGCTCCAATCTTCTCCATACTCATTCATTATCACCAGCTTCCATTCTAACTTCCTTTTTAGAAACTGTTTCTATCCTGTCCTGTAGAGCATTAATTCCTGATACATACTCATTTAGGCCCATATCTTTCAGAGGTCTGAAGGGCCGATGAGTTCTCTCTGCTTTGGTAAATGGAGGACCAAGCCCAAATCCCCTTCTCTTGTATATATTGATAAGGACGGAGGCATCATAAACAGCTATAGCTACCTCTTGAACTAGCTACAGACACACAGATTAGAGAAGAATCATTCCAGCGCTCTCTCTCTGTCTTTCTTTTGTCAGTTGTGGAGCTTGAACTCAGGGCCTGGGTGCTATCCCTGAGCTCATTCAAGGCTAGTGCTCTACCACTTTGGAGATAAGTCTTACAGACTTTCCTCCCTGGGCTGGCTTTGAACCTAGACCCTCAGATCTCAGCCTCCTGAGTAGCTAGGCCCTGGAGATGGATGGTGGTGATGCTTTGTTGCAGCACCCAGCCCATCTCCTTTTTTTTAAAAAACTATTTTTATTATCTTTCAGTAATTGTACAAAGGAGTTGATATTCAAGAAAGCAGCTTATGAATACAATGTATCTTGATCAACGCCCTCCCTCTCATCATTCTCATCCATCCTTCCCAACCCACCTCTTCCCTCCATCTCTTTTAACGAAATGGAACAGGGGCTTAAGAGCCTGGGTCCTCTAAGAGATATTAGGGCATCTCTCCCAGGAGTTGGGGGTGGGAAGTCACAGGTTAAAGGTCAAAGTCAGAGTAACAAAATGAAGTTCATCTTCCCTCAGTTCATCCTTCTTTATCTGAGTAAGGCTTCAAGCTAGAACTAGTTCCTAACAAGGAAAGAAAACCAGTTCAAAGCCCATCCATTCCTGGACCACAGGTCCCAGTACAGAAGAGAAATGTTGGATTTTCTGTCATTTTCACATTATTTCAAAATAATACTGTTTATCCACTTCTGCATACCAGTACTATGAACTATTTGTAGGTTGATAAAAAGTTCAAGATCTTTTTTTTCTGGTGCTTACTGACCCAAGAGGTACTGACCCCTAGTGGGCACAAAAAAATTTCATCAATTTAGACCTGTATCATTTTAGGACTCTCCAAAATCAGCACCAAGAAATTCAGCCACTCTCAATTTCTTAATTTTCTACCTTAGTGTCTTTCTACTCTACTTCACATTTCTCACAAGTTCCTTCCATAGTTCTATACTTTATTTCAGGCAATCACTCCTCATTTAAAAAAAGAATTCTGCTAGTTAAAAGGACTTCCTGCATAGTAGACTACCTCAAGATATGGTAATAAACACTTTTCAAAATTACGTTTTCTTGCTGAGTGCCAGTGGCTCATGCCTGTAACTCCAGTTATCAGGAAGCTGAGATCGGGGGAGTTGCAGGGCAGAGTCAGTCCAGGCAGAGAAGTCTTGAAAATAACCAGCCAGAAGCCAGGCTGGAGGCAGACCTCAATTGGCAGAGTGCCAGCTGCGCAAGCACAACAACCTCTCGGTTCAAACTTCAATATCAGAAAGAAAAAAAAAAGAAGAGAAAAGAAGTATTTTCCTCCCACCTTCCCTCTGATTTTCCTCATCAATTTATTTATTTTTTT